TCGCTGACGCAACAGCTTTCTTGAACCAAGGCATTAGCAACCTGATTGTAAGATGGAAAAGCATTATCGATAAGAATGGAGACCATTTCATTTAATAAATGTTTTGTTTTGATATATATAAGTTGATTGGGTTTTTTCATCTAAAAAAAAGTGACATAATTTCTTGTTGATCTAATAATTTCAGATTAATATTTGCAGCCATGGAATAGGTTTATCAATAGGCAGCGTTAAGTTTCTCCTTTCTTGCATTCACAGTTATTCTCCCTCATTGCTGACAAATATAGGACATATGGATTCCAGAAGGTCTAATGCTCATCTAAGATCCCACCTGCGGCACAGCAAATCTGCTCCTCTCTTTGATGAAACCACACATTTTGAAACCACAATAGCTAATACAAATAGCTGGTCTCCATCTTCTATTCAAGAGGACATTACGGACAAAGAAGCCCAGTTGCCATCAAAAACAGAAACAGATAAATTCTTCTCACGTTCAAAGTCTGTACTTGTGGAGAGTGTTAATGCTTCAGCTGAACCTTGTTCCAGTAGCAATTTCATGTTTTCTAGTAAAGAAAAAGAAACCATTTATACTGTTGATGGGATATCATCTCAAACAGAACATGGGAAGAACCAACACACAGAACTGCTTACAGTTCCATCTACAAGCCAAACAGAACTGATTTCAACTCCATCAACAAGTCAAACAGAACCACTTGCAACTCCTACAACTCAAATGGAACTGCTTGAAGTTCACATGTAAGTGATATGCTTATTTTGCAGAACTTTTATTCATTATTTTATTCTACCTAGAACATTTTATAAAGCAAGCTGAACAAGCAGAATAAGCCCTTTTAGTCAAAATGTCGTAATTTTAAAATGCAAATGTTTATGTTTATTTATGTATACACACACTACTTGTACATGGTGACACTTGCATGTTGAGCCCTTGTTTGTCATGTGGCCATGAGCATGGTTGGATTAATGGAGGTTCCCCTTTTCACCACCAGTGCTGGTGCTAAATCTGTTGAATGAATTTGTCACTCATCATTCCATTTTAAACCACACCAAATCCTGGGCAGTGTGCCAAAAATATGCTTAGTCTGTTGTGTTCTGTCTTAAGTAACATTTGACACACAAGTATTCTTCCACCTAGCAGTAGGATCTATGATTTGTTCAATAAAATGTTGAAGCAACAGATAAGTTTTATGAACATCAGATAATACTTACTTAAACCATTCTACCAGCTCACATCTTAGAAGAGTTAACAATGACTGACACTAAATAGAATATTTAGACAATACAGACATTAAATGAGCTGAACTTGATTCACCTATCAATAAACTAATGTAAATGAGAAGTTTGACTGCACATCTGTGACAACTGTAAAAGTAACTTTGTATTAAGAAACTGCTCACTGTCACATATAACTGACTGACGTAGTAATTACCATATCCTCACCAGATTTTACAATAGAAGATATTCTACTAAAGTTAAGTTTCACACATTTTTGATGACATTCTATTCCCCAGAATTAGTATATTATATTTGGAAAAATCATTAGCTATAGAAATATAAAGTAATGGTAAAAAAAGAAATCACTACACATATTACCTAATGTCAGTATCTTCTTTTGGAGGAATTTTATGTTTATGTACTGGATTTAATGTTTTCTGGACTGCATTGTAGGAGTGGTGCACTGTTGCAGTCTTTCCAATCCATAAAAGACTTCCACTATATGTTTCTTTATCTCTTTACTTACTATCTTGGGTCTATCTCAAATGCACTTTCTTATTTCAACTACATTTCTTAAATTCAGTATTTAACATTCTTTGTTAACTTATGGAAACACTAAGGTCAATATAAATGTTTTATATTAGTTTAACTTCATATTTAAGTTGGTTATAAAGATTCCTTCATAATTCACTAAGATCAGTTTGAAAGTTCTGTTACATTCAACACTGAAACTAGTTCTGAAGCGAGTCTCACATATTCATGTTAAACATTAATTTTGTAATTCACCTACATGCTATCTAAATTTAATTCTAAAGACATAAAATGGTTTTGTTTTTAAGTAGTTCTGTTTCTTTTTAATAATTTTTTGTTCAGTTTTTATTTCTTGCTTTGTCCTATACATGCCAGTACTCTGGTATAATTCCATTTTGCTGCCTCCACATGCCATAAAGTTTCTTTCTTATTGCATGTTTCAGGAGAACCTACTTACTATTTAATTAAAGAAGTTTTGACTATGTTATGTTATCAAAATATTTTAAAGGTGGGCAGAAACATGAATTTCTTAAGTACACTCATCTTCTTTTCCTTTTTCACAGGATGGTAAAGGATACTTTTGCAACTGGTAAAGCTGTTGATTATACTGTAAGTACATCTGATAAATCAATGAATTGCAGTTGGCTTAAGAGTTTGGATGATTTTGTATTATGTAAGTTTGTTATAATAGGTTCATACAAAATATTTTTTGAATTTCAGGTAAGAATAAATGTAGAATTAGATGAATTCTTTGGCTTTCCACTTTTAACTCTAAACACGTATAATCTATAATATCACATTGACTCGTAGCTAACCCTCAGTAACTGCCTCTGAATCAAACTTTTCTGTTACCTTACCTTTAAGATACATCTGCTCTTGTAACTTTACTGTAAGCCCTTTTTTTTTCCTATAACCTTTCCTATCACAATTCATGTAATCTTCGTTGTCATCAGTCTTGTGACATTATCTTTTTAAGTATGATAATTCTGTTCACTTACTTGTAAATCTGTAACTCCACACCTGCTCTTTTGACCATCCCCAGGTCTTTAATTTTTTCATTTTGATTCTCCTGAAGATACATATAATCATGTAAATTTCCCTTCTCTCTGTTCTGGTTATGCAACATTCTGTGTCCTGCCTTGAGACTTTATACATCATTTTTGTGTAAATTGTGCTTATCTCACATGCATTCCTAATATCATATACTTACTGTGTGATCTTGTAATTATGTATAAGTTTGCAAACAAAGAAGTAAAACTTAGAAACTTTATTCCAAACCAGAAAACAGCTTTTACTTTAATATACTTGAATCAATTTATTGAACTATATCATACTGAGATGTGTTAGAAAGCTTGATATGTTGCCACTAACCTTAACTGAAGTTTGTTTTCTTAAGGCAATAGATTCCTTAAATTAACTTATTTTCTTAATACAGAAAATATCCAGATTTTGGGTCTTAAAACTCCCCACATCAAAAACTGCATTAATTTTTGTTTGCATATATCAGCCACTACTGTTGAACTTCTACAGTGAAATATAACGCTATTTGGTGCAACCACACTCAACCAATGGCTAGAAGGATATATTTACATAACTTTATAATAGGCAATATAACTGATAGTGCTATACAACCAATTCTATGATCTCCTATTAGATGAAAAATTTAATAACTTTTGGATTGGTTAAATTCAAAAATCAACAGTTGATAGGTGTCAAGTTTTTATAGGGGGTCGAGATTCTTTACAAATTACAATAGGTGTCTGTGACTTGTTGGTGATAAGTGTCAACAATAAACAGACTACACACAATCCACTTGTTTTAAAGTAATATATATTCAAAACAAGTCAAACACATGTACAAAAATGTGTTACACTGTTGAATCTAGAGCTTTAAATAATTCACCTTTTTGTCAAAAGTTCACACAGGCTGGTTCAGTTACTTTAGAACCCAGTTGACAAGACAGATTATTTCTTCTCTCCTCTTTTATCACAATACAGTCAGTGATAAGTTCACTTACGTTACCCCATGGGTTTTACAGTTGTACCCAGAACTTTAAATAATTCTCTTTTACATCAAAAGTCTACACAGTCTGGTTCAATTGCCTTATAACCCAGTTAACAAGACTAATTATTCCACTGTATCTCTGTTGTTACAATAAAAATTGTGAAACTTTCACTTTAGAAATCACTCTTTACAGATAAATTGACAATCACACAGTCTAGCTTCACTTTTTCATTTATATTTTCTCTAACTTACTTTAACGTAAGTTGATGTATCCGCATGTATTTATACCTTGCAACAGAAAAATCTAGAAATATCTAGACCTATAGTGACAACAGTATTACATATAACGAGAAAAACTTAGAAGCTTTCAGTAAGATGGCATCAACAATAATACAAAAGCCTAATACAACAATTAAACTACACACAAAACGTATGACTCGTACAGAGTTACGTAATGAAACTTGTCATAACTATCGCTTTTAAGATATTTAACTTTTAACACTCTTGTTATGAAAATTGAATAATAATTAAATATTATACCACTAATTAAACTCAATAGTAGCTCATAAACTAAACATTCCTGTATATCCAACAATAGGGTCTTACTTTTGTTGTTTTTTATCGCAAAGCTGGACAATGAGCTTTCTATGTTCTGTTCACCATGGGGAATTGAATCTTGGATTTTAGCGTTGTAAGTCCAAAAATTTACCACTGATTCTTTAGGGTTATAGGGTGTTGTGACCATTACTTTCCAAGGTGTTGGTCTAACGTTTTGCAATAGCTGCTGGAGATGTCTAGATGGATAATTTTATCAAGAATGGCTATTTCTGCTTATTTCTTTCCATGATTATTTTATTTTTGTGATATCATTAGGGCTGGAATATTCTAATTCTTTAGGTGCTTAGAGGGGACTTACATGTAGTTTGGCGAGTGTGGAAATAGCGACTGATGCTAGTGTCAGTTGCTGTGGAGACACA